GAATTTATTACTTGACTCGAAGAACTCAAACAAATTCCAGCCACAAAATTGTTGCTGACTCATTTGTATTGTGATAGTTCTAAATCTTTCGTAGCTCAGAGCCCACATTTCAAAAGAGAAAATCATCAAAGTTGTATGTTTCTAATTTTGATTTTTTTCAAATCGAGTAAATAACTGTGATGGGAATATTTTAATTATTTTCATATCGCTAGTGTCATCTGCTGGTTTTTATTTTCTATTTATTTTTTAGAAATTAAGTTAAAGCAACACTTTTAAATTACACATTTATGAAAACTGGGTAAACCAATGAAGTGAAAAATATTTGTGGTAGTGATTTGTTTGTTGAATCTTAATTTTTGGAATAAAATAGGTACAACTTGAAAATGAGGCTGACAGCACCAAGTTTTCTGGTAGATACAATATATTTGAAATTATAAAAATAATTGACAAGATGGATCAACAACGTGTGTTTTTTTTGTCATGTTAAATTCGAAATTTCATCTCATTGTAGACTTAATTCTCGATTCGGTCGGCCGAGGTAGCTTAGAAATTTTTCTCCCGTAATCAAACATCGAAATATTCAAAAGGGTTCTTCGCAAATATTTATTCACGTGTGTCGACCGAGAAAGTCTTCACCTCTACGTCTCCCATGAATATAGTCCAGAATTGAATAAACCTGCCGTAATTTTCTTTATGTCCTAAGTTAATATAGACTGGCGACAGGTTGTTCTATAATTAAACAAATCGAAGGCACGACTCGCCTATACACCTTTTAGTAACTAATTGAATAAACAGATAACATTACCTCTGTCGTTTCTTTTTCGTCCAGAATTCCGTATATCGAAACGTTTTTTAATACGATCAGACAAAATTTAATAACTATAATTACAGGGTGCCAACCTGGCAGACGTTCAAATAAGAGCATGACTTGCACGCGATTCGCTATACAGTAGCAATGTGCAGCACGAATTCGAATAATCCTTTCGAAATAATGACTGCCTAATAATCGTCTTCTTGCTATCAGAATTTCTGCTTTTATGAAAATAAGAGTCGGCGCCGAGAATTTCGCTCTTTGAAAACTTGATTTCCTTTATTTTATCGCCGCGTGTATAATCGTGCACTATGGGTCGGGAGGTTTTTATGGATCGAGTGGGGTTGGAATTTTTTGTTGATAATTCCGAGATCGGATAGAACATGTGGCATTCGCACATCCAGCGGCAAACAAAATGTCGTACAAGAAATTTTTGAATTGGATAATTAGAAGCGCTCTAAAGTGTGATAATACTGATAATCGCAGTGTAAACAATTTAATGTAATTTGTTTAAAACGTTGTGCAAGGAGAATATTCCATCAAAATTGCCTATTATCGCTTTATCTTTTAGGCAAAATTATAGACTTATGTAAGAATAAAACGGCTCCAAATTAGTATCAATGCAAATATTTATTATCGTTGGTGTGGAAATATTCATAAAATGAGGGCAACTGTTGCTGTTGTTGATTACTTTTGAGAAAATAAAAAGTCTACAGTCACAGTATTTTGATGAAAATTTAAATTCCTTTTTAATTTTTTGTAATTAAAATATATAGGTTGAAACAAACTGTGTTTTTATTAATTTAAAAGAGTTATCTACCTTTTTTCAAACTGTTTTAAATTTTTTAACAACATTGTTATTTGTTGGAAGGGAAGTTGTGAATACCGAAGAGTGCAAAACATAGTTAGTTTTTGAAAAATGTCATTGCTGATATGTACTACAGTTAGAAAAAATTGTTTAAACAAAATCGCTTTAAGTTATTGCGAATTGGAGAAAAGAATATTTTTTCATGAAGGCATAGGAACGGAGTATTTTTATTATTAACGAAATTTTTACATTAGAAGACAATTCACAAAGAAATCTACTCGTATAGTGAAGTAACTATTTGCTTTTTTTGTTTCTTATTTAACCAGTTAGGGTCTTTTGTATCTATTTGTTTTAATGTTAATTTTTGTCTTGTAAATAAATTCAGTTGTCTACTAGTATGAAAGCTATACATTCGGAATTTTTTGCTCTACTTTCAATATACTAATTTTAAAGTTTCTTAGTTATTGTTTTCACCCTGCTTTTTCTTGCATTTTTATTACTTCACACGTTCTATTCATCTCTCCTCGCTTGGGTTATTACCTTCAAGTAAACAAAAGCTCTGAAAAACGTGTTTGGACCCCTTTTCACGCCCTAGCCAACATTTTCAGAACCCCTGGTTTTGTTTTGTCACAGAAAGTGCAAGATGTAAATTCAGTCTTTGGGTTAGGTTAAACCAACATGTGGTCCATTTTGTTAGCGGGGACAGATTTCATCTGGCGAAGAAAAAATAAATAAGATTCCTTTTATATTAGCATAAATGAATCTTGACATTTCCGGACTGGATTTCCTATATTTCAACTAATCGCCGTAAACAACGACGAAATAAATTTTTATATTTTTAGTAGTCACGTGCTTGGGGTAGGTCGGAAGTGACGTCAACCACGCACACGCACCTATCCGATCGAAGCCAGACAAGGCATTCTCATGATAGTAAAATTAGCATTTTTAAATTAGTGCTTGGAATCGTTTTAAGAACGGCATCTAGCGATGAAGAAACCATTTCATGCACTTATCGGATTTTACGAGCCGGCAAAAGGCGTGATATGAATTAGAACGAGAGTTATAATTTCTCATGGAAGCCATTTATGCAGATTTTTAACCCGATTGCAGCGACTTCCTCTTTTACACCATCAGAGGTTTATTATTGGTTTATTATCTACTTATCTTAAGTCGCTATGAAAGTGATTTATTTGACAATAGTGCTGAAATGTTCCTCGGATTTGAATCTGCAAATGAATGCTTAATACCACCTAAACGAATCCTTCCCGGAAACCACATACCTGTTAAATCTCCAGGGCTTTAATGAACAGAATTGATTTCCAGTCAAACGTTGACGCGACATTCTTGAACAAATAATTCTTCCTTTCTAATAATTATTGTCAATAGCTATTAGAAAAAATAACATCCGTTTGTTTGATACTTATTATTTTTGCATGTTTGGCAGGAACAAATAGATTAATTGCAACGATTCACCTATGTCAATACTTTCTTTGTTTTAAACGTTACTTCAAATCGATTGAGATTAAGAATGTAGGTATCGAAGGGTTAGATTTCTAATATTAAACCGACCTTAAAAGACTTCTTATCGTATTACTTCTTACTTCCTCACGTAAATTAATCCTAATTTAATTAAATCAATACCTAGGAAGGAAATTCCAATGAAAAAAATAAATCACTACATTATTTGATATTGGAGTGGCTTCTATGCATATTTATGTATTCAGTTATAAAAAATAATGCAATTTTATTAAATTGGATTACAAGTAATGACAAAAGTATAAGATTTCTTCTTATCGACCAAATCGAATCCAGATAAGTGCATTACGAAATCAGAAGGAATCATCAAGTTTGGAGTTTTGGAAAGCTTAGAAAATCAAGTTTTTTCTATAAAATTTTAATTTTATCTTGCATTTGAGCATTTTATGTTTAAAAGTTTCTGAAATGTCACTGAATTAGTTTTCTAAAAAATAATTCAAAAAGTAGATATCTTTCTTCAAATTTCGTTTTCGTTTCTGTTGTCTAATGTTTTTTTAAATGGAGTTGTGTTAATTTCTTTCAACAGTTTTATGAACTCTGTATCTTGACAAAAATTAATTGGCAAGTTGGTGGAAAAACAAATATTGACAATAAGTCAATTTTCGCGTTCCTTCAACGAAACACAATTTTAAAATGTCGTTGACATTATCTCGGCGAATGTATAATATTGTCACACTTTTATTTTGTTACAAGAACTTGTTTTTCCTACAAAGTAAATTGTATTCACAACCGTTTTGTAATGTTGACTTTTCTAACCTTGACGGAGGTTGGAAAGTGACTCATTACTGACCTCCTATTACCTTATCCTCGTTTTATAGTTCCACTTTTGTCACAATTAAACGCATCCATTATGGATGTAACTGTAACAACTACGTTGTTTGTAATATTTGTTGTCATGATAGTGAAAACGATTTGTCAAACTTTTAAAACATTTTTTTTTACTTTTTTCACGAAAATTAATTCTTTGATAAACTTTCTAATCTGTCGACAATAATGAAACATCTTCCACATCGGTATGCTATACACCTATAGTACACCTCGGTATACTATTAATGTTTTTTTTTGGAAAAAAATTAGATTTTTGATACTTTTGCAACAAAATTTCAGTATTGAGCGTTTCAACAAAGATTTTTAATGTGATATACATATAGCACAGAAAAAGATAAACAGTTGAAAAAAATCAATACTTCATCTATTATGTATAATTTGCAGTTTAACATAAAAAAAATCTTGTTTATAGGGTTTGGCAAAAATACCTCGATGAAAAAAAAACTACGTAGGTACACCAGTGTGAAAAACTAGCACCATTTTTTTCCACCGGTGTATACCTTGGATTTACCAGACTCTAACAAACGATTTATCTGTTTGGTGTTGAAAACGCATATATTATGTTTTATACTTTTTCTCTACGCCTACGGAACATTTAAAACGTAGACAATTTCGGCAGCATTTGATTCAATTTTCTTCAAACTACACGAGTCACAAAATCCGCATTATCAATGGCGTCACCAAGCCTCCTTTGATTTGAATGTCAGGCTGTCCCAAACAACTGTACTCTGTCATAATCGGCACAACCCTAATTCTTGGAATAGAAATCGGCATTGAGGCTCCAGAATGATTGGTATGTCTCTGTCTCAAAGCGGATGTGTGACAAAGATGAGTGATTCAGCGTATCGCTTCCTAGGGTGTCTCAATATGCAGGCGCCAACGGTCGATATCCTCGACTTCTTCCTTTGATTTCAATACTGGTGCTAGACAGAGACTCTTGAGTTAATTTATTGCTTTCTTCTTTTGACCTGAATGAATGTAATTTTTGCATGGTAATGGTTTTTTTCTTGGTTGCAGTCCCACAATGATGAAGAAATAAGTGACGGTGATGGAGAATCGGGTCGCGAACATGACGATGTTGATAGTTGTGACGAGATAAGAAGACACGGGGGCGGAATTCTGGCGGAACACGGGGATGTTCTTGCAAAGTTAAAAATGCAAGTTAGGGACATCAAGGTAGGGGTAAGCAAGCATTGATAGGTGTTGAAACAGTTAAGTTTGCTCAAGTCTAATTTATTTAGCTGTAGAAGTTTGTATGTTTGAAACATACAAAATAGGTGAGAAGAAAATTCGAGTTTTATTAACCCAAAACAATATTTTCTTTCATCAACACAAAACCTACTTCTCTTTCAATGATTATTTTGGTTCGGGACGAAATCGGTTGTTTCTCCTCCTCATTTTGTTGATTGGTTAAGAAATTGGTTTCTGTACGTCGTAAATTTTGCAGGACGACTTCGAAAACGCCACCCGCCACCTGAACTTCCCCCTGTCGAATCGAAGCTTGCAGGATAATTTTCATTTACCCGCTCCGTTCCCATTTCCACACCCCAGTACGCCGTTCATGGCACCTCTTTTACCACCACCGGCAGCTCCATCTTCGGGGAGTTCACACTCGTCGGAAGGCAGTGCCTCTTCACAGCACACCTGGTCGTTCGAAGAACAATTCAAACAGGTGCGTCAGGTAGGTCATTTAGAGTAGAACGTGCTGCTAGCGCCGTCATTATCGGGCGTCGCGACGTCGGAGTATTAATCAAATCGCGATGGATTTCAGCTTTTTATAAGAGAATTATTGGGAGATTTAGAACTGTACGCGAACTCGACATGTCCTCAGTTGTCAAAGGTTAGGAAAACTTCCATTAGCAAAAAAAAATTGTTTCATTTTAAACATGACCTTCTTTCTTAAAAAAAAACGGTTTTTTGTAAATTTTTGATAAAATGTTTTAAAATTCTAGAAACAATTTTTGAATTTTGCGATTTTCTCTTTCCGTTGTTTTACGCATGTTGAGATTTGGACGGACTGATGGCAGACGAGCGAAGAAAAGTTGCAGATAAGTGCGTTTTAATAGAGTGCCGTTCGTCTGGTCCAACCTCATATAAGTTATACTATTCGCCAGTTTTATGGCGCATAATTTCATCAGCGCAGGAATTACAGTGCATTTTTAGAGTTATTCAATCGTAAAAGTCGGCGTTTTGTGTCCTTGTCTCTATTATTAAAGAACATTATTATGAATAAGGACGGGCCGTTATCGCTTGTATTTAATTTGTACCTAAATGTTGAAGTATTTCTGTATTCCCAGTACTATTATAATTTGGCATAATGCAATCCGATATTTTATAGCCTTTTTCGATGATTTATGGTTATTAAAAATTAGCGCAGATATTTTTTGCCGTCTGGAACACCTCTACCTGGACGTAGCCTTCGAGCAAATAACTAAAAATTTCGTTTTGAAATTACGTGGGGCGTTATTGTATTTAGTACAGAACGAACTCCTGCGGTAAAACAGACACTGACTCTATCCGGGATGAAATATAACGACGTAGGTGTTATTATATTTTAATATCAAGCTCTTAATGTACTGTCTGGAGATGTACGACCAACATTTGAATAGATAAATTACTGCAATTTAATTCAATTGTATGAATAAAATATAATAATAAGCATGCAGCTCGAGTTTCGTTTACCCACAAAAATTACATGGATTTGCAAAAATGCAAATGTTGCTGCTTGCTCTCTTGATGCATTTCTCGAGGTAGGCGAAACATCCTTGAACTCTATTCTACATCTCTCACCTCTAATAGGTTAACAACTCTAAATCTACAGACAATTTCGGATTTTTGTTGCAACATGCAATGAATTTAGGTGATGCTACTTCCAAATACAAAAAAGACAGTGTTTTTCTTTTGGTTTTCCTCTTTTGTTACTATTTCTCAAAACTATTTCCCACCTTCGTCGCTTTGACATTAATATATAAAATGAAATAGTTTTGAGTAATAGTGAAATACATTTGACAAAAGAGGAAAACCTAAAGAATGCACTGTATTGTTTTTATTTACAATTTTGTACAATGTCTTTTGTATTAATTATTATCATAATTATTATTCTATTTCTTTCAAAAATTCACAAATCCATGCACTGTTTTTTGAGAACAATACTAAAAGATTGTTGATGTAAATTGGAATTTATTGAAAGGGATGTGTAGAGTTAAATTCATTTAATTGATTTTAATCAATGCAAACTATTAAAGAAAACAATTTATTTGGAAGTGATTATAGTAAATTCATTTTGAATCATGTTTTACTAAAATCACGGCAGTGCCTCCACTACCGGCAACGGCGGTTTAAGTAAACGATACTAGAAAGACTGAAATCAGAAATTCCTCAATTGTAAATCTTGCGAATAATAAACACTTTAGACACCATAATTAGGTGAGACGGTTGAAAATTAAGAATTAAAATTTTTGTCTTTAACTACCTACTAGAGGAAAGAAAATTCATAGGTAACATTTGTAAGAGCAAGAGTAAAAATTATCAGTCATATTTTTAACGTTGTATTTATTTAAATATCTGTGTCTATAACTTTTTGAATGTCAACGTTTTAAGGAAATTAAGTTTCTTTTGGTGAATGCAGAGGAAAGTAACTTTTTAATTTAAGACTTTTAGTCATCATTTAAAAATGTTGATTGTGAAAAATAAAGAGACATGTTAAACTACAACTGGTAATGAGACGTCAAATGTTGCACATAGCCGTTCCGAAAATACATTGTGTACAAATGTACTATTAGTTCGGCTCCCTCAGTTCCGATAAACATATCAAAATATTATTAAAGTAAATGAAAGCATCTTGTGGACACGATCCAACTGTATCCTGCTGTAAAGTCTTAATTCATTAATGATAGTTCCTTTGATACTGAATTAACGATGCGGAATCTTTGATCTGTACCGTTAGCATAAACAAACACACCGCCTTACCGAGCTAACGCTGCAAACTTGAGAAAACAAAAGATAGCATTTCACAAAGACTTGTTAGATGTCCACGAGACATAAATGTCGTATGATTGGATCCTATTCGCTCAAAAAATCACCCTTTTCGTCCAAAAATAACGCAAAAACAAATCAAAACACGGGGAAAGTTGCAGCAAATGGTAACATTAGTTTAAATCCCCTTGGAAATCTATCACAAATGTCAAAGATTCAGAAATAAGGCACGCCGGCATATTTCTACTTATTTTTGGAATTGGGGGCGAAATCGATTTTACCAGACATGTGTCTTTATTGATGTAACGATTCAGTCTCGAGAGGGTGGTAAGGTCGCATCGAAAATGCATTTACAACATATGGGGACAATAATTACGCTTTCAAGACCGAATAAATTTAAAACGACACTGAATATAAATAGATAACTCCAATAGTTAGGGGTCGATTTTCTCAGATAACTCCGTCTACATTTTACCACCAATAACAATTAATCAATATAATTAGATATAATATTCTTGGAATTATTCCCATCACTATCTAATCCCCGACGTATAATTAACTCGGAAATTTTCTTCTCAATAAATGTCATCACGTTCGATAAATTCAACAGGAAGTCGTATTTAACCGGACCTTGAAAAATACTTAATAACTGGCAAAAGAGCCTAATGTGACGTGGTGATTTGTAAAGCGGTGCTCTCGAGCTCCTTAAAACTCACTAAAAGGTGGTGTTTATGGCATTTAATTGCTGTGCTAAGAAAACTATTTTAGACTACCAACGGTATTAAAGAGATACTTTACAGTCATTAACTAATTTAATTGTATACAGCTTGAGTTAATATCCTCACACCAAGTGTTTGACTCTAAACCATCTTATTAGGTAAATAATGGAACAAGTTGGGAGTACTTTCAAAAATCAAGTGTAAAAACCCCAATTTGCGATTTTGATCTAACGAGATCGATTAGTAAGCTCCATGTAATTTTCCACAAGTGATATAAAATTTATCATCAACACGCACTTGGGTGTCTCTCTCAAACACACAAATTTTATTGCTTTTTAAAACATAATAAATAAAGTCATAACATGTTTTTTAATGTTGACACTACGTTAAGCAAAGATTTATTCGACTCGACTATCTGTAGCGAGATTTTTAAGCAGATGTGTGCGTTTTCGTTTTTTTTGCACTACATCAGGTCTAACTTATTAATTAGTGATTTTTACATCAGAGTATGTTCTCTAATGATAATAATTATGCTTTTTGAATGATATTATTTTGAGATGTGAGAGAATGGAACTGACCATCTTTCGGTTTTATTTTGGTGAATTTATTATGGTTCAGAGGCACAACTGGCAGACATATGCTAAGAAGCGACCGGATGTTCCGTGCCAGCGATTGATTTGATGGAATTCGTATTGGGAATTTTGGTTTTATGCGTTTTTTGCAGTAAATGAGTCTATCAAAGAGATTCTATTAGAAACGATGCATATTAGTTTGTGAGTAATGACTGGAAATTTTTATACTTTTTTTAGGTCTGTTTATTGTAATAAAATACGAAAACTGAGTTTTTTGTGAAGCTGAATGTAGAGAATTGCAATATGACTTGATTGCACTAGTGCTACATTGAAAGTTCGACGTTTTGTCATTGAATATTATTTAAAAAATTCTCTTTACTGTTATAAAGTAGAAGAAATAGTGTGTTGTAAGTCCTCTTTTAGAGTCGGCTGTTAGAAAACTTGAGTTTTTCATCAGTAAATCAGGTTTTTTAAAGTATTAAAATCACTAGGTATAAAAATAAAATAAATAATATTGATGCTGACTTACCTAATTCCAACACTTATCTACATATTTAGTTTCGAATAAAAAAAACAAAAATTGCTTTTAAACCACCTATTAACATATTATTTTCAACTACGTTGCTAGCCCAATTTTTTGGCTTTGATATAAAAAATTGTTAAAATTGTTAAATTTAATTTTGAAGTTTTTTAAGAATTAAAAAACTAATAACTTTCAACTTTTTTTCTTCATACTTCTAAGTATGGCGGAGGAAGAAGTTTTTTAAACATTTTTTGGGGTTTTGTGAAAAATTTTCTATAACGTATTGAAAAACTTTTAAACACCCTGTACAATAAAAAAATATATTTTGTACTCAATGTTAAAAAGTGCTTTTATCAACTAATTTCAGTAGTTAAAGTAGTCGAATTGTGAAATAAAATAATTTTAATCTGCTGTTTATATTTAAGAAATTCTGGTAGGTGAGTACAAAATGAAACGAAATATTATACACGACGATAAAGATTGTTTATCTACTCGTGAAAAAAGTCCACTCGTCACTCGTAAATTTACCCTTTTCACTCGTAGATAAACAATTTCTTTATCGTCTTAAATAAGTATGCTAGTGTTTTCATTTATTTTGAGAAACATTATTTGTGATGAAATTAAGAATGGATTTTTGAGGAATTTACGTTCTGAACCCTCAACTCCAATTTTTACCAGAAACTGGAAACATTGAGACTTTATTTTTAGTTAGGTATTAGGGCGTATATTAGTTATAATTTAAAATGACACAGATGTTCTTATATTTGGAAAAATACTAAATTTCTAGTTTTTATATCTAGAGGTTTTCGTGATGACACTAATTCGAGAAATAATAAATAAGAACATTTTCGTATAGTAAATGATCAAAAATTTCACGGTCATCATGTGGCCA